TATATATATTATTAATTAATTATATTATAGTATTATTATTATTATTATTATTTATTATTTATATTATATTTATTTATTAATTATATTATATTATATTATATATTATAATATTATAAAAAATATTATAATATTAATAAATAAATAATAATAATATATATATAATACTATAAAGTTATATTATACATAATATACAATATAATATAATATAATATTATATATACTTATATATATTATATATTATATAATAAGTAATATATATATATATACATATTACTTTATATATTACCTTATATTATATAATCACCTACTAATTATAAATGAAATTAATATTTTAATATATAATATTTTCATAATATATTAAAAAATTAAAAAATTGAAAATATATATATACATATATATTTTTGTTGTTGTTATTCATAAACGAAAAAAATTGAAATAAAAACCAATATTTAAATTTATCCAAAAATTAAATTGTCCACAAAATGAAAAAAACGAATTGACTTTTTATTTTTATTTTGGAAATGTTTATTTTAAATAATATTATAGTTGATTCTACTATAACAGTAATTTCGTCGTGTGGGTTACATTACCAAGCTTTGCTATGAAGAAATGGCAAAGTGAGAGAGAGAGAGAGAGAGAGAGAGAGAGAGAGAGAGAGAGAGAGAGAGAGAGAGAGAGAAAGAGAAATACCCACGCAACGATTACGTCACACACATACGAACACGTTCGTTCGAATAACCGCGAATGATAGAATAAGGCGAGAACCTAAGAACATTGGCTTTTCTACGAAAGCAAAGTACCTCTAACTTATAAATACATTATTTTCTTTTATACACCTTTTCTTTTTCTTCTTCTAAATTCAATATCGATGATATCAAAAAAAAATCTATGAATAAAATATTCCATCCTTATCTTCTCTGTTCTCTCTACGTTTTATTAATTTTATTAAAAGTGTACGTGTAGGTGTATGTGTGTATGTGTTTTTATACGAGCATACAAATTCTATTTTTAATTCTCATTTATATTTTTTTTCTTACTTCTAATCAAGAAATCATAGTACTTATATGATGCTCGATGAATAATTAAAAATGTTTGAATAAATTGTTTGATTTTTTATCTTCCATCTTTGTTATCATAAATTCAATAAAATAAAAATGTTACATAAATGTATGTATGTATGTATGTGTGTGTGTTTGTATGAACGTAATTAATAATTATTCTTAAATTTGATTTTTCTATTCTTAAATATTTCACTCAAATCAAAAAAACATTACGTTTTCTCGTAAAAGGAATATTTATTTAAAACAAAATGTTAATTTTTAACAAATTCAATTCGAAGTGGTAGAAAAGTAGTTGTATATTTAAAAGACGAATATCTTGTTTGTAATTTTTGTAATTAGAATAAACAACGGAAATGATTCTCCCTTTTGCATGATGAACATAAAGAAAGCTTCTCTTCCTTCCGCTTTCGAAGTATCAGGAAAAGCATAAGAGGAGGAGAAGGAGAAGGAGGAGGAGGAGAAGTTATTGCACGCTACTCTGACTTCCTTGTACTAACGATTTGAGTAACGAGGGAAACTCATTGTCTTATTTTTTTCCTTTTTTTCTTGTTTTCCTAACCAAAGAAAGAAAAGAATCTTTGCTTGAGAGAATCTATCGATTTGTAGTATATATCTTCTTACCCAGAAAAAGTGAGGAATACCCCCTACCCCTAAGAAATTTTCTATAAAAGGTAAAAACTAGAATTTTTCTCCTTTTAAAACGTGATTCATAATCTTATTACGTAAAAAAAAACTAAAAAGAAAACGAACAAAACTCTCTTTTTCCTATTAAAAATAATCAAATAAAAAAATTAATTAAAATATACGTTTAACTCATAAAGTATAGTTTAATTTATTCTGTCAAATACGTAATACACATTTTTTTTCTATCTTATCTTGAAAATAATAATAAAAAAATAATAAAAATGAAATATAATTTTTTGTATAATAATTTCTATAACATCGTATAAATATATAATATATTAGGTGAATGCCTATTATAATTATTAGTATATTAATATATAAATATAAATATAGGTATATTTGTAATATATTAAAATTCATTTATTATTATAAAAAATATATTTATAAGATATTTAATAATATATTATTAATATTACAATATTCTTCACTCTTTCCTATTTTATTTCTTTTTTACAAATATAAAAAAACCAAGAAAAATTATATCCAACTCTTGTTTTCCCAATTATCAATTTTCCCAAATCGAAAGGAGATTAATTATCGAAGTAGAACTCAGTATAGAAAGAGATCTAAATGGAAGAAATAGATGGAAGAAAGCAGTAACGAACCTGTGAAAGTAGTTTTAATAAAAACTTGACGACCGAGGTTAAGAACTACACTTAACCATAAGTTAGCAAACGTTCATTGTGACAAGTAAAGAATAAATAAACGTGTAACACACGTTATCTACTTCTACAAACTTTTTATTCGTACTTGTGCATGTTTCTTAATATTCTGAGTGTGTGTGTGTATATATCTTATCTTAATATATATAAATTACGTGTCACATTGTTTGTCCGCAATTGACTCCTAAACTACTGAACCGATTTTAATAAAATTTTGCACACTGTGTGCAGTTTCATCCAACTTGAAAGATAGGATAGYTTATATCTCAATTTATATTCGCAATATTATTTTATTGCGAATTATTTGTTTATTAATAAAGGGTCATGATTATCTCTGTTAGTTCGATAAGATTCTAACAGATGGCGGTATAAGGTAATTCGTTGACTTAAAGATGTGTGTATCGGACTGATTGTGAACCACAGCAACGCGTGGTGGGGCACCCCTAGTAAAAGTATAAATAATATTCGATAGTATCGTAACGATGATTTAATTGCAACCTGCAGTAGTAAAACCTGTTTGATAAATCGAATCGATTGGTTCGAAGTTAAATGTTAGAAGAAAACAGTGTTAGTTTGAACGTTGAAGAGAAAACTTTTGACAAAAATTTTCTTCTATCTTGTGCAATTAAAAGTAGAAGTCTAAAACCATCAAACTTATCTATAAGAGTAGATTCCAATGATTAGGAGACTACCTGAGGACTTTGATGTCCTCGAAACGATTCATTTGGTGAACGATGTTAGACAGATGTTTGCTTTTCTCGACAAATTTGTTAGTTTTTTTAATGAATTATCTACCGTATGTTATTTTAAATAGAATGGGTTGAAAAAAATCCTTTTTTTTTCCCCAATCAACGTTTAAAGATAAACCTTCATTTTATCTGAAGATAATCTCAACACATTTTTTTTTTTCCAAAGTATAAAAGTTGATCAGTTTCTTTTGTCAACCCATTGAAGAATATTATTATAATAATATGATTATTATTAAAAATATTTGTTTGACAGGATCGAGATGAGCAGACACGTTTGGAGATGAAACATCGCAAAGAGGAAGATGATTTGTACAGAAAGTTTGCACATTATCGAGAAGAGGAGGATAGACGAATCAGAGAAGAATTCAGAGTACGTAAAACAAATTTTTTTTTTTTTCTTTACTTATAATTATTATTTGAATTATTTGTTTTTTGTTAACTTAATCGAATTACAATAAAAAAAAGGACGAATGGGAGAAAGAGTTGGAACAATTATCAGCAAGATGGGAACGAGAGAAGGGTGGTGGTAGAACGCGTACCCAACAATTTCAACAGGAGAAGGAAGACTTGGAGAAAAACATGACTCTTAGGAGAGACAAAAAGAAGGAAAGTCTCACGAGGAAAATGTTGGAACACGAACGGTAAGTTTATATTATCTAATTAAGATGGCAGATGGCTTATCATTAAAGTGATGTCTTACTTGCATAATACTCGGTTAATGTCGAGCGTTTATTTAGAATAAGAACAGAATCCAACCAACTTCAACGATTCTAATTAACTATTACCATGGTACATTATTTTAATGAAAAACCAGAAATATATATATATACGTTTCGCAAACTGTGTTCTCATAAACAAATGCCCTGTTGTTAAATAAAATTTTCATTTGTAGTTTAAAAATATAATCTTTTAAAATGAAATGAGATTTCAAAAATATAAAATGAAACTAACATACCTACTATTTTATTATATTTACTATGATCTTTATTAATGATCTTATTAATTTATTTATTATAATATTATTTTGTTTATATTATATTATATTTATATTGTATAAATTTATAATATATAATATTTAATATATTATAAATTATATGATAATTTATATTATAATGTAAATATATTTAAATACATTATATTTATAATAATAATATTAATTTTATTATACAATATATTATATATTATTATATAATCATATAATTAATATATATATATATATGTAATATATTACAATAATCTATTTATTATATTATCAGTGTTGGTATTGTTAATGAATTTGTAGAGCTGCAACGGCAGCATTGGTTGAGAAACAAAGTTCGGAAATGTTGGAGTTAATAAACGAGGCAAGAAGCGAATATATGCTTCAAGAGAGTTTGTATCTTGACGAGGGTGACGGTTATACTCAAGAAGCACCACCCCCTTATCCATCACGAGCACCACCACCCCAACCACCGGCTTTAGCTAAGTATCACATTTACAACGATCCCATGGAATTTGCGGATATGGACCAAATTGCTATCTCGGTGAGAATTAGCTTGTACTTCAATTCAAAAACAAATTTACTATAAAATATTTGTATTTTGTAGGTTGCTCAAGAAGATCAAAAGACGTTTACCGATTTGGTACGTCAATTGGTTAGCAGATGTGGTTCAGATATCGAAAAGGCAAGAACGATATTTCGATGGATTACTGTTAAGAATTTAAATACCATGCAATTTGATGAAAATTTGAGGGGTGACACACCTATGGGACTTTTGAGAGGAATCAAACATGGCACTGAGAGTTATCATGTTCTTTTTAAACGACTCTGCAGGTAGGAGGATCATCCAATGATTCAAATAAATGTTGAACAAAATCTCTTCATATAATTTGTAATTAAATATTGTTATTCAGCTACGCTGGCTTGCACTGCGTGGTTATCAAAGGGTACAGTAAATCTGCCGGTTATCAACCAGGTGTATGTTTCGAAGACAACAGGTTTAGAAATAGTTGGAACGCTGTTTACGTTGCTGGTGCGTGGAGATTCGTTCAGTGCAATTGGGGAGCTCGACATCTTGTAAATGCCAAAGAAGTTCCACGTCCTGGTCAACCAAAAGCTAAGAACGATAGTCTAAGGTATTACACAAATATTGTTGAAATCTTATTGAATATGACACTTGGTGATAAGCTAAATTCAATGATTATTTATAATATTAATTCAATATTGATTTAAACGTTAAAAATATCATTTAGGTACGAGTACGACGATCATTATTTTCTCACGGATCCAAGAGAATTCATTTACGAATTTTTCCCATTACAAGAGGATTGGCAATTGCTGAAACAACCAATCACATTGAAAGATTTCGAAGAATTACCATTCGTACGTTCGTTGTTCTTCAGGTAAATATGTTTTTGCAGGTATAATCAGAGTAGACTTTTGAGATTTGTTAAGATTGATCTTAAACAACACCATTAAACAACATCAGAGATATGTACAAACCGTTCAGTGAAAAAGTACCGTTTCGTATAAATTCTGTGCTTGCAGATATGGCCTTTATTTTCCGGATACGAATACAAATGCCGTTATGTATACGGATTCGACCGGTGCTGCGACCGTAAGAATAGCGATGCCCGCACACATGCAATCGTCCCTCATTTTTCACTATAATCTCAAATTTTACGATAACGACGGCGATGGATATGACGGGGTCTCTTTGAAACGTTTCGTCATGCAGGTAATAAAAAACAATCAGAATCTAACGCGTGTTACAAATGATTAACTTATAGTTAGTTAACACGTTCCGTGCCATGTGTACCACCAGTGGTACACGTTAAACTTGTTCTTCAGGCCACGTATTTATTTAATGCGCTAAAATATTATAATAATAATTAATTTTGTAATTAAATATATAATTAAAAATATAAAAAAGAATATATTAATTAATAATGAAATGTAATGGTTGGTTTTGTTAAAGCAAAATTAATGGCTTGAATGACAAGTCAGGTAAAAAGGGTTTAGCACCAAACGTGTTAACAAAATTGTGTTATTTTGTAAAACGTTCTCGCGTTATTGCATTATTTAATTTTTAATTAGGATTTTGTTCATAATAAAATATAAAAAAAAATTATTGAAATGATTGAATGATCGTTTACAAAAAAATATTTGCAGTCTGTCGTTGGTAACATTGTTGCATTTCGAGTGCACGCCCCATGCTCGGGTGCATTCCTCTTGGACATATTTGCAAACGCGGTCACGCCGAAGGAATACTTGACGGGTGAACCAATGAAGTTTAAGAGCGTGTGCAAATTCAAAATCGCTTGCGAGGAACTTCAAACGGTTATGGTGCCACTTCCGGATTGTGCCAGTGGTGAATGGGGTCCTACCAAGGCTACCAGACTATTTGGATTGATACCCATTACTCATCAGGTTTTTTTTTTTACAATTTTTTATTAACCCAATTTATGATTCTTTTTATTTCCTAATGTTTAAAAAAGAAAATTATGCAAAAATAATAGAAAATATGTTTGAAATATTATTTTGAAAATATAAATAATATAGCAAAGTTACATTTGTGATGATAAAATGTTTAAAAAAGGGGAGCTTTTTTAGAAATGCATTTGTATTTTTGAAAGGATGAGTGTATTGGGATGAACATAATCTGCAAAATGTTCTTCTATATATCTTAAATGATAATTAATTAATACGTTCCGTGCCACGTGTACTACCGGTGGTACACGTCAACACGTTGAGTGCCACGTCAGTTAAAAATGACTGACGCTGAACTTCCCGTTTAGTGTTTTTAGAAAAAAGTGTATTGGGATCTCTGGCAGGGGCGTGGTGTAGCAATTCGACCTATCTAATCTAATTTTGAATTTAGCCACCAGATAGCGAATTCAAGTGCTAAAGATCCCACGTGACGTAGCAATTAGACCTGTCTATTCTAATTTTGAATTTAGCCACCAGATAGCGTATTCAAGTGCTAGAGATCCCAATGTTATTGTTTGAAAACATCCAGTATAAGATCAGAGTATCGTTGTTTTCGAAATTTAGCGGTAAACTAATTATCTCTTCGATTCAACATTCGTGAAAGTAATGAAAACAACCTTGAATACAAGAACGTAAACAGAGAACAATCAGTGTTAGTTTAACGGGGGATTTCGAAGAGGAAACATCACCTAACATATATTACATATTTTTAAAAAACAATACACATTTCTTTCGATTAATTAACAATCAATTAAGATAAATTAAACACGGTATTACATTTTAATAATATTTTTAATTATTTTAACATTTTTGATCAGTGATTACTTTCAGTTGAATATTTTTATCCATTAAAATATCAAATCAAAATTGTTTATTCGAGTTTAATTTTTTTCAAACAAATTTATACTTTGCATTGTTCTTATTTTGAACGAGTATTAAATAAATTTTCATGTATTAAATAATATTTAAATTATAGCTCAAACAAAGAGGGTATTCAATGGTTAGAACATTAACGAATTATTTTTATATCAAATGTGTACGTGTTATTAATTTACAGATACATTATTTTTGTATTTGTTTAATTCAAATTTTATAAATAACATTTTGCAGATTATACTTTAATATGTAATCGAAACAATTGATTTATTTTTCCAACGAGGATAATACGAGGTTTCATTTTTGTTGTTGTGTATGAAAAAAGAAAAGAAAATAATTCTTTTTAATATTAAAATGTATACATATATATATTCGTAATTGAGATTCATATTTGAATAATATTCGCTTTTATCTTTGTTTTATTTTTTTTTATTTGTAGGAAGCTTTAGTATTCGCAGGACGAGAATTGGAAATTCAATTTCGCATGTCGCGACCGTTGACCGATTTCATGGCAACCCTACACAAAAATGGTATAGAAGAAAAACGATTGTCTAAGTTCGTGGCACATTCCATCGCTGACGACGATGTTGTAACATTTTCGATAAGTTTCCCGGAAGAAGGTCAATATGGTTTAGATATTTACACGAGAGAATCAACTGGACCTACTACAACTCAGCATGACGTTACTGGTGAAAAACACTTGTTGACACACTGTTGCAAGTATCTCATCAATTCGAGCAAACGTAATTGAGAAGTGAAGAAAAAAGAAAAGAAAAAAAACCTGAAAAATCTTTTTTTTCTTTTCTGGTATGACCAAAATAAGAAGATCATTTTTATTTCTTTTCTATCTTTTTAACCCTTTGAGTGCTGAATACTTTTAACTAAAATGTTTTTGTAGGAACAAAATAATTTATTATTAAACAGATTTTAATAATAAATTATATTTAATAATTAAAATTTTGAGTTCTGAATATAATTTAATTAATTAATATAAACTAATTTAATTCATTAATATAAATATAAAACATAAATTATAACTATTAAATTAAATAGTTATATAATGAAATAACTATAGTTATATTAATATAATTATTTAATTAATTAATATAAATATTAAATATAAATTATTATAAATTATAATATTTAATTAATTAATATAATATAAATATATTATTTTACATTAATATTAACCCTTTGCTTACCACACTTGGTCCAAAAGACCGAGACCTTTTTTGCAACTTGAGTCATTTTTCCCAATTGTTCCAATTTGGTAATTTTTTAAACATATTTAAATTTAATTTAAAGCTATAAAACCTATATAGTCTTTTTAAGTAAGTATTAAAGAAGTCTCAAAACAAAATTTTGAAGTAAATCTATGGAATAGTTTCTTTTTTATAACGATTTTCGTCGCCAGGGTCCAAAGGACCCGGGTGTACTAAGCGTGTTACTCCAAGAAGGGTGGTAAGCAAAGGTTAATAAACACGTATATACGTCCATAGTATGGAGGGTAGACGTTAGGAGTAAAATCTCTTATGGGAGAAAATGTGAAAAAGTGTCCAGCGTTTTCTGTCAATAACAGATCAAAAACCTTCCAGAATTGCGCTGGTGTAGACACTTGGTATGGTATGAATGTAGCAATTGTAAATGTATTGTAATTGTTTATTTCTCAATCCTACTCTAATAATATTTGGCGCTTCCTTTAAAATTTACCATGATGCTAATGTGGCGCCACCTCAATTGGTTCGATTTCGACGGACACTTTTCATATACAGAGATGTTACTCCTTACCTCTACCCTCCATAGTCCATAGCATTCTAAGGGTTGAAATATTTTGAATACAATTTTTATAAATTTAACAAAAGAAAAAAAAGAGAGATAGAGAGGGAGGGGGGGGGAGGAGATAGAAATAGGGTACTTAATTTTTCAGTAGATATGAAGAAATTAGTACGTCATAGAAAGTGTGGCTGGCGTATGATAAAAAAATGATTTTTCCTGTTGGAGTAGCGATGAAAAATACAACATAAGCTTTTATCAAATATTTCGTCGAGTGGTTTTATAAAATACGAATATACATACATTTATACACACATACAAATCTATAAAATCGTAGTGGTATCGAGTTTCACGTTTATAATGACAAATAAAAGCGTTCGAATACAATACACACGTAAACATATTCGTATTTTTTTTTTTCGTTTTTACGAGTTCTCTCTCTCTCGATAAAAAGGAGCTCACTTTGTATTTTTATATTTTTGTTTTGTTTTTTCGTACTGTATTTTAATCGTTATTGCAACAATATTTGAAAATATTTATTCATTTATATATATATATAAATATATA